TGCATTCTTGTTTAACTTTACCACAGATATGCTTTTAGAGTTAACATTATCATCGTCTGACTCTTCAGGAGAATACTTTCTACCAGGAGATTCATTGGTTGACTTACAATATTCCGATGACATAGTTCTATTTGGTGAAGACGCTGATTAAATGCAGTGTCTCCTGACTATCCTAAGCAACAATGCATGCATGTTCGGTATGAGGTTCTCCCCCTCGAAATGAAAATGCTGCTTCAGGACTGGTTTTTATCGTCACCTGAACTAGTGATATGGAGTAAAGTAGTCGAGCGTACTGACCACTTCACTTATCTCGGGAGTCTCATCAGTGCTATTTGCCTGAAATTATGATGAAATGGTGATGAAATCTCAGCACGGATACAGAAGACTGGATCTGCCGTTGCCAACTCGAGTCACTTATGGCGTAGACGAGATATCCTTTTGCTGATTAAAGGACCAATGTTCTGTGTAGCAGTTCGCTCCATCCTACTTAATAGCTGTGAAACATGGCCATTTAGAGTAGAAGATATTCGTAGGTTACTAGTATTCTGTCATAGATGTCTTCAGAGCATTTCCCGTGTATACTGGGACAACCGAGTAAGCAATGTTATAGTTAGGAATCGAGTACTAGGTAAGGATGGCAGGTCAATAGATGAAGTAATGAAACTTCATCAGTTGAGGTACTTGGGACATGTGTTACTTATGCCTAACCACCGACTGCCTCGTCGAGCTGCTTTACGATGTAGGAATAGCTTGGACAAAAAGCAAGGGCGGCCAGACAAAAACATGGCAGAAATCCATAAAGTCACTGACAAGTGGGCCAAGGCATGTCGATAGATGTAGGCTACCCTGAACGACACGGCTCGGAAACGTTTGCAATAGCGCAGGTAAATTCATTCTTTGTGTTCTCTCAAATCCTAAAGTTCTTAATTCCTCATCACCTTTATTTTTTTTTCTCTTTAAGTTTATTGCACTAGATTCTACTTCTTGAATAATATCGTGCAACCCTAATCTCTCCGATTACTGCTAATACCTTTACCACCTCTACTACTATGGGATTTGAATTGACAATTACATCTCTGTACTAATGTGGTATAGCAACTTGAATTGATGTACGTACGTACGAAGTTCTACGTTGCTTGACGTTTTTCCTTTCCATATTGAGTAACTCGTTAATTCTTGTCCAAATCGATCTGGCTAGTTCAGAATTCTAGTTGTAATGATGATTTTGAGGGGAACAAGAATAACACAATCTGCTGAATAAAATGATTTCATTTTATTTCCAGCTTTTACATCAGGTACAAACAAACTAAAGTCGGTTAGGGACATACAGTTTGAAACAAAGATATGAAATCTTTCAGTAGAAACGAACTTCCAAAACTAGACAGAAAATAACTTTATGGAATGACAATCTGTAACTTTTGTCCATGACATAAATAATAAGTGACTGTTTCAGTAGGTTCTCTTCGCACTTATTAATAAAAATTCAAATATTAGAAGTTTAGAGAAAATAGCACAACAGATGTAAACTGATTGTCTCAAAAGAATTCTTTTCAAAAAAAAGCTGAAACTACTCTAACTTGAAAGTCATCCTCATTATGAAATAGTGTTAGCCTAGAAGGATGATTAGTAGAAAGAGTTGCTGTTTTGTTTCCAGTTTGAGACTTCCTCCTTTCAAAAGAAATTTCCCTTACAACCTTACACAGGATCCACATGATTCGATCACGATTGTCATCACTCTTCTTTCAATACCAGGCAAAGTCTTCAACAGGGTATTGTTAAACAGAATAAAAGACTTCGCAGACGTCCAACTTCGAGATCAACAGGCTGGATTTCGAAAGGATCAATCGTGTACTGACCAAATTGCAACATTATGGACCATTGTGGAACAATAGACTGAATGCAACTCACCACTGTATATCAACTTCATCGACTACGAGAAAGCATTCGATAGCGTGGATAGGAAAACAGTGTGGAGTCTTCTTCGACACTACGGTGTGCCTGAGAAAATAGTTAACATCATACGGAATGCTTATGATGGATTAAACTGCAAAATCGTACACGAAGGACGGCTAACAGACTCTTTCGAGGTGAAGACCGATGTGAGGCAAGGTTGCTTACTCTCACCCTTTCTCTTTCTTCTGGTGATCGACTGGATTATGAAGACATCAGCATCTGGAGGGAAGCACGGTATTCAGTGGACAGCTAGGACGCAGCTGGACGATCTGGACTTCGTAGATGATCTGACTCTTCTATCTCACACGCAACAACAAATGCAAGAGAAGACGACCAGTGTAGCAGCAGCCTCTGCAGCAGCATCGACAATCAATGTGGATCCGATGCAGAAGTGAGGGCGTGGATCAGCGAAGCAAGGGCTGCATTTATACAATCAAAAATTATCTGGAACTACAAACAACTTTCAACCAAAACCAAAATCAGGATTTGTTTACCTATGTAGGCGTCGTGGAATAAATGGAACTATCTCATATGAACTTAGTAACTAAAACTTTAGTTGCTTTTGCTGTTGACTGGAAAATACGCATTAACACACTCACACTAGTCCATTAGAGAACTGAGTTTAGAGTCACTTCCACCTTAAAAACTGATTATCCTTTTAGGAAAAGTATAAACCGAAGCCCTGCAGTGTAATTCAAACAAATAATTCAAGGGTTATTATTCGATATATTGGATTTACATTCATTGGATTCCATCATTGACTGGAAACAGGTATTGTTTGCGGTCTTAATAACTTTACCCTTTCTTGAAGTTTTTAATTTTCGAAAATAGTTAGTGAAAGAGTTGTTGTTCCACAATGTTATATTAACTTCATCAAGAATTACTCAAGTTGAAGAAAAAATTGACAAGTGGAATTCTTAAACCTTTTACACACTGCTAATATTCTGACTACAAACAATCCCAAAGTATCTTTAATATAGCTGGTAGGTAAAGTATTAACGATGTTAGTACGCTCTGAATCGTAACAGCACCCCACACAACAAAGGCTTCAATTTGTTCCTAGTATAGTTTTATCGAAAGAATATCGGATTTGTAATGCTAGTAGGCATGAGTTAATATTAACAAATGTTGAGGAAACAATCCAACCTGTTGTACAAAAGACGAGCTGATAAGAATTCAGTTCATTTGCTAATATAAAACTCTCAAGGTTTAAATGAATAAAAAGGGCCTCTATAAAACTACTGGTAACAGATACCTTACGATTTAGATTCCATCATAAACATAATCAAATAATCATCAGTCTTCTGCATCATAAATGAAAATGTTTAACAATACGAATCCCCAAAGAAATATGATGTATAGTTAAATCTCAACTGTTATTAGCTAATGAGTTGTGATTTTGCTACATCTATACAAAGTAATGTAACTGACTCTAAACGTCGTGAATTATCAACCAATCAACAGCAACGTAGAACCACGTACGTACGTACGTACATCAATTCAAGTTGCTATACCACATTAGTACAGAGATGTAATTGTCAATTCAAATCCCATAGTAGTAGAGGTGGTAAAGGTATTAGCAGTAATCGGAGAGATTAGGGTTGCACGATATTATTCAAGAAGTAGAATCTAGTGCAATAAACTTAAAGAGAAAAAAAATAAAGGTGATGAGGAATTAAGAAATTTAGGATTTGAAAGAACACAATGTTGTGAATTATAGACAGACCGTGCGAAGCTTCCTAACATATCAGGCTTATATTTTTGCTTATCTAACTGGGCAAACACCCAAATCGATTTTAACTTTGGTATATATTCTACAATATCCTAAGGCACTTACATCATCTATAATCCTAAAATGACATGGATATAAATATTGCAGGTATGTTTATGTAATGTTACTTGTTTAAGCTTTAAAGGGTTAAAAGTTCCACTAGCTCGAAATCACTTAGTTTGTCCGTATGGATTGACGTTGAAATCCATTATATCTTTTAATATGATCGTACTTCGTAGTGTAACACAAAACACAACAGAAAAGAGATTCTTGTTAACAATGAAATGAAACAGCTGTCTTGTCCAAACTTATTTTTAGTAGATATTTACTACTACTGGACATAAATACATTGTGTAAACTATCCCGATCATAAACTATAATTTTAACTGACACCTTGTTTGTAGTTATAACGAAATAATGTTGCCTTTTTTTTACCTTCGATTTAGATTCATTCGCATAAATAATAGACTCGCCAGTGTAGTATTTTAATAGGCACAATTGGAAACTTTCCAGGAAGAAAATGGATGGTGTTTTTAAGTAAACTTTTAAATTGATATACAGGTTTGTGAATGCACAGTTAATATAATCGAATCAAATAAAATAGAAATTACATGTAACACGTTTATTTTATTACAAACTGGAGTAAAAAATTGTAATAGTTCTAATAATAGTAATATTGATAATAATATTTAGTAGTAAAAAAAATTGTAAATATTACTTTTAAAAAATATGGTATTCATAAAAGCGATAACATGACTCTACCTTAAAATTAGAGACTAATCCCCTTTCACCAGTAAATGTTGTCAGTATAGTAAAAACAGTACATTAAAAAAAGTTTACACAAAAAAACCCGCTGAGAATAATAATAATAATAATAATAATAATAACAATAATGGTAATAATAATAATAATAATAGTGACAATTATATCTAAAGACGAAAATAGCCATTAATTTTGTACAAAATATAAGTAGAAAAATCTATTGACAAATGTTTAATGTCTATATGAAAAGTGTGATCATTTACATATGCTGTTTAGAAAATGGAATCAATAAGAAGACATATTCACGCACATACTAAAAAAAAGAGAAAATATACAAATGCGTAGTAAAACCTATGCATAATAAAAACATAGTGGTACCAGAATATTTCCAGTATTATTAAAACAATAACAGTAATAATAATAATAATAATAATAATAATAATAATAATAGTTACTGTACATAAATTTATAATCTTATGGAATGGATCAATTGGAAATATCAGTTCATTTTTGTTTAATTCAAATACTGTCGAGGTTGCAAGTAATCCTCTTGCTGCAACACCAATTCAACATATCCCTATGTATGGAATAATAGATGAAAAAAAAGAAAAGCAAACGAATAAGTAGATATTGTGTTTTTTAAATGAATAAACGGATATACAATAAAATGCACATAGAATTAATTTATCTTCAAAACCACAAACCTGATACTTAACATTGTGGTTTTTTCAAACAAAATTAATAAAGCTCCAAAGTAACATATTCATTAAAGAGTCATATATAAATTGCAAAAATGAACTTACTTTCGTTAAATCATTCGTTTCCTTTAGGTTATCATAATTTGATTTCATCATAGCAATCCGATTGCATATGTCATGAAATGTTGGACGACTGTCAGGATCTTGTGACCAACATTCTAGCATTAAAAAGTAGATTGCATTCGTGGATAGATATGGTCTAGTATTACGATTACCACTATTTAACCATTCAATTAATTGTCCATTATCTATTCCTGGATATGGTGAATTACCCAAACTGAATAATTCCCACAACAGAATCCCGTACGACCAAACATCACATTTTGAAGTATAACATTTCGCTGTGGTCAAACACTCTGGTGCCATCCATCTTATTGCTAAGTAATCCTTTATTTAAAGAATATAATGGAATGGAATGGAATATAATGTAATAATTTTATTACGTACAATTATACTGCGAATAACATAGTAAGATGATATATTATCAACATTAAAATGATAGTGAACTAAACACTTTAAATAAAACCAAACAAATAGTGTTTAATTAGTAAATTAACTGTAAAATATCTTGAAGTTTTGATCCTCTGGCTATTAGTAGTGATAAATAAAAGGTAATATCACAAATTAATATGCCTTGAACTTGTTATGGATAAAAAAAGAAAGTATATCTATGCTGATCGATTTCATTGGCTAAAACAAAAACTGATAAGTGAAGTAATAAGATAAGATAATTCAATGATCAGTATTCATTGAATCGATTTAAATTATTTTAATATGACATAATCATTGACTAATTAATAATCTATGAACAGTAAATACAGAAATAAACCTCAATCATAATAAAATAAAAAAACAAAGTAAAAACAGGTAAAGAAGAAATGAGCTGTGAACCGATATTTGGAGGATATGTAAAGTCTGATAGTTAAATAGTGCCCAATGAATCTGGCTGTAAAGAAGTTGAAGATGATTTCTAATTTTTCTATGATAGAAAACTTTGAAAGACCCAAGTCGAAGCGGCGTAATTACTTTATAATGCATGGGGGAAAGGTAAATAGAACCCCGATCAAACAAAATCGAAACTTACTGATAATATTTCTAGAGTGGAACACCTTATAACCACCATCAAAGATCACTGCTAAGAATCCCTCTAATCTAAGTATATGATTTACAGTCTATTTTATCCTGAAAATTTTACGGGTGGACTGAGTTGGAACAAACACGGTGAAAAGTAAAAAAGAACTTGTATGGGTATATAATTTGCTTACTCATGAGTAGTTCAATTAAAATGTCAACATTTACCATGTGAAATGACACGATTTAACAAATGAGGTATTCACCGAGGTAAAAATATCAATTACCAATCTAGTCATTCAAATAAACAGCTTAACGGACTTTTAAAAGATTAACAAAGCATTAAATAGAAAATTTCAACATGATTTGTTTGAAAAACCCTCACCAAGAAAATCTATTACGTCTTTACTGAATATAATTGACTAAACCATTATTATTAGTATGATCACATGCTGTAAGAGATTGATAACGTATTTCAAAAGTTAGTCAACCACAAAAGATTACCACATTAAAAAATAAGCATTATTTTGAAACGTGGCCTTTTTAAAAACTTTTTTGATAGTTACATTAAACGAAAACAAACTTCCTCCAAAGCACTGCTCGCCTATGTTGAAACAACAAATGAAAAACTATGACATATTACACAAGATATACTCAGAAAGATCACAAGTCGATTGACAAGGTAGTGGATCCTCGTAAACTGACATGTCTCTGAAAATCCAACAAACACACACGCACATCAGACTCCAACACATGACGTTTACTCTTTTCATTGCACAAACTCACGCTTACTTCTCGGATCATATTTTCTATGTCTAGTTATTTCCATCATTACTATCATTGATGTGGGGATTGCTTGTGGGAATTTGGAATTTGTCTTCACAACTTCATCTTGTTGTGTTGAATCAACCTTTTAACATGAATCGATGCATATTTGTGTTTGTCAGTTTCTACGTTGCTTGTAGCTGACTGAACTAAAATTTTTAACAACACTTGATACATGAATTATCAGTTCTGACCAATCTACATTTTAGAAGAATAACAAGTGTGTTAGTGACTAAGGCTGTGTAATATAACCAAGCACTAGAGGAAGTCAAATATCATACGATTTGTAATTTTTAAGTAAAATGCTTCACTGATAGAATTATGTAAACCCTTTATATTTTTTTTAATGAGCAAGTTTTCTTATTCATATAGTAGGTTTCCTACTATGTTATCATGATTACTTTCTTCCTTTTCTTTATTTTAATATTTACAAGCTTCCAAACCCATTCAGACATTTTTTCTAATAATATTTTAATAAGCAAACACAATTTTCATTTAAAAATGATGAATTATGTACCTCAGTCATATTTTAATATTTGATAATACTGTCTTAGATTCAGGCCTTTGTTCGTTTATATTCATGAACAAAAAATCAGACGAAAGACTATCAATTAATGACAGATAACCACGAACATGAGTTCCATAGGAGAAATATTGGAATTCTGGATCCATTAAACTTCAAAAATGCCAAACAATTTCTAAAAGCATAACAATCATTTTCAGCACAAGATTTGAGGTCAGCGAACACAAACAGTTAACATAAGTACAAAGGCAAATAGAGATTTTAAAATCTACGAAGATAGACAATCAATCATAAGCAATGTCATTGATGAAATAGTTAAGAAGCTCACTCTTATACAAAATAGACTCTATAAATATTGTCCAGAATAATAATGAAAGGTCTGTAATTACTCCATCTAGCTCAAAAAAAAAAAAAAAACAGAATACTCTGCAAATTGTGACTAGTTCAAGAGTCTGAATTATAAAGTTTAAGTTTATACAATATGATGATAGATAACTTATATTCGTAAGTTGATGTAGAATATACAACAATATTCATCGATGAATAAGAAAAAATCATAAAGAAAGTATATATCTATCCTAAATATAATATTGCAAACAGCAACCTCAGTAACCTTTGATTATTATGAGATAAAGATTAACGAAATTCACTGCTTATAGCTTTGTTACATAATAGAAAATGTCTTACTAGAAATCTCGATTTCTGATAAACTAATAAAATTAGCTTATGAATAAACATAATCCAGTGGTATTGAAATCTAAAAGTTTTTAATGCACAATAATAAAGTCTACTCAAATATTATACAAGATTAATATTCATGAGAAATGCAATGGTGACATTAAGCACCAAAGTTTATAATCCTTGAAAATGTTAGATATTTTTAAAGGATAATTTGCAAGTACAAAATAATAATGTAAAATCAAGTAGTCCATAACAAGCTATCATCTAGGAATAAATGACTGTAGCAACAAGTTCACAAATCAATAACCACCACTTTTTTTATGATATATAATTATTAATCAAAATGTGAATATATACAGACACTAGAATTCAAATCATATCAAATGGATGAGCGTCAAATAAGATGAAACACGTGCTCAAAATTTTATTATTAGCTTATAATTCATTCAATTTATATTGTTCTATATTGTCGATAAATAATTTACTATTCAACTAAAACACGAATACTTTTCGAGAATACATACACTAATTAGTTCATTTTAGATCCCTATTTTAAAAATTTATATGTCTCATTATAAATACCAGGGTATCCAAAGGTTATTTATCATATTATTTACAATAACATACTATTTCTCATAAATTTCATAATACTTAAGTTGATGCTAAAGTATCTATCTCTACACAAATTTTGTCAATGAGTTCTATCTTTGAAAAACAGCATTCACATATGACTGTATGTGTATGAAATCTAATGTTTTAACGACAATGAAAAATATAAACATAAATCATTAGGAATAAGTGGTAAACAAAAAATTTAGTGTAAATTATAAGTGTGTTTAGTAGTTTGAATCTTTTAATAAGAAAAAAAAGACTTGAATAGTTTATGAATGTGAATTAACCAATCACATTAAGCCAACTTATATCATTCAAATATCGATCACATCTAACAATGTCATGTGATACACGTAAAATGATGAAGATGAATGGTCGAGACAAAATTCAAGGATTAAAGGCTCTACATTTGAAATATAATAAATAAATACGTGAAAAAAAAAATGGAAATCCGAAACATGTATGAGCACATCTATACAGAAAAACAACAACAACATATAAGAACAAGGCATTTTCTCATGAGAATATTTAAATTATGAACCTTATTGATGACAGCAAAAGTACAACGATAATAACACTGTAATTTTAAGTTTGCTAATATTAATCATTGATTAATCGTCAAATCATAAATGATTGACATTTGAATAAGTGAATAATCACGATTTAAAGTGGTATATGCATTATATTAAATAAAAATTGCAAAAAATCTGCATTAAAGTGGCAGTCACTCCATCATCACTTGACGTAACTTTAATGGGTTTCTATATTTGTTGACAAGAAGAATTTAGATGTTATGATAGAGAACTTTCCTGTTCTTTAGGAAATCTTCATTAAGTTAAAACAAGATATTTCCTATAATTTATGAGATCTCATCAAATAGCTTTTTTTTTACAAAAGTTCTATGTTAAACTATTAAATGATCTAAAATACCGAACATTTCATTCATTTTAGAAACTGGATAAAAAGTGTTCCACTACTAAAAGTTTAATACGAGAGTTAAAACTCTGATATCTTACTTCATAAAGTTAACAGAAGAAGATTAATGACAAGATTACTAGAGAAAATCTGCTTGATTATTCATAAATAATGTCATAAATGATCATAATTATGAAAATGTTATTGAAAATAAAGATTTTGAAAACTATTCAGAAAACCAAAACAAACAGTATACAACGTAGAGACCAAGTGTTCCTACTTTCGAACAATATTATTGTATCTCTTTCACTCTTCATCCTGCATCAGATGTCTACACGAGTGTAATACGGCTAAGCATTCGAAATCGGAGCATACAAATAACTTTATCAACTTAATACACCTATGCTGTCTAATAATCATATATATCCATATAATTTGATAATTGTTTAATTGGTAGTTTCACTACAAGGAGATGATCAATAAACGCAAATAACACAAACTAACAGTGGACTTGGAAACGTACTTCATTCACAGAGAATTATAGTCCTAATTTACAGTTGGAACTCTGAATCACTGGAACTCAACTCACTGGGTTAGAGGTGACATAGTCGTTGGAAAGCCTAAAAATTCTGTACCCGATACCCAGGAGGATCAGTCATGGGTGTATATTGCTGAGTCCTAAACTGGGACTAAATAACTGTCCAGATAAAGTAAGTTCGTAAGCTAAATTGTCTTCAAATTGAATAATCCTTGAAAACCTTTCACTCTTATGTTATTATTTATTTAAGTAGTTCTATGTAATTCATCCTCACATCACACCAAAATCTCGATAGATCATCCTTAGTTTGCCGATTATCACTAGAAAAATTCACTTGTTCATAGGTTACGTAATATTTTCAGCTATTATTTCATATTCATAATAATATACTGTGAAAAACAATTCACTTATCGTTAACTTGCTATCTGTTAACATACGAAAAGCTAATTAATTTCATTTAATATTGCGTTGTTCAATAATAAGTGTTAATTATTACGTCGATTCCATTTTTCACGCAAACAAAATTCACAATCATTGATTAATTATTTATATGATGGTAGTATAACTAATTCACACATCACAACTTCTAATTAACAAAAGAGCATTGAATTTATTGTTTTCTTTAAGAAATGAAAACAATTAAAAACGCTGTGATTTTATTAAAACTAGGAATAAGAAATAGTTGAACGAAAAATTATTTTTTTTTTTATAGCTCCAACATCAAGCTCTACTACATTTACCAGTCTATGGTCTGTTCAAATGAAGCATCCAGGAATAAGTGAGAGGGATTTTTTTAATAGCTTGTTGGATAGTTCTAGCTGTCCAGTGTTTCCTGGTTTTCAATGGCTGTCTTACAACGATGTGAATTAGACAATGTTATATGTTCAAATAGTGGATTGGATAGTAAGAGTTTATAAAAAAGTGGCTTATGTATGAGTTGACCTAATAGTTGCTCATAGTAACTAGAGAGATGACGATTCCTCTCTGGATATGCAAATTAAGCGTTTTGGAGTTGCTCGTGATGGCGTCAGTTATGTAGAGGAGGAAAAATCTTGTTCCCTTGGGTAGATTACTCACGAAATGTGTGGAGTTGATAACGCAATAAAAAACGATTAAAGATTTTCTTGTTTTGATTTCTGCTTAAAATACATATTGATTAGCTTTTGGAAAAAATTAACTTCAGGCTAATAAGATGTAAGCCGACAGATTATATATATATATATATATATATATATATATATATATATACCCCAAAATTTTTGTGACTACCATATCGAATGATTCATAAGGATAAAAACAAAAAATAAACTAGTGTGATTTCATGCTATGAAAGAACAGTGTATTGGTGTCACAAGACGTGAAGGCCGTGAGTGTTAACCACCTGTGGAGTTGAGTGGATACTGTTGACGAGGTAAGCAACAAAGACAACAACAAGAATTAGAATATTAATGCTCATAACTACCACCACTACGGTAAATAAATTGTGTTCTTTCACTTTGTTAAGCAAAAAATGTTGAAAATCTTTCATCAATCTAAAATATTGACAAATCGAATCACTATTTAAAATGGATATAAACTGCTTGGATTATCAGAACTACTCATAAACGTATTCAAGAAAAGACTTATTCTTAATGATATCACAAATAAGTTGGTTACCTACAATATTTTGGTTCAGCATAGACTAATGTATCCAACTTCTATTTAACAAAATAGTTTAAATTTTGAAGCTAAAATAGTTGGTCATCAGAATCTGTTGAACTGGTTTGAGTTTTTGTGATTCCTAGTATAGAGTTTTGGTGATTGTTGAACTTCATTGAATTTATGAAACGATCACCGTTAGACCACTACTGAAATCCTGGGAGTACTGGATGACTGTTACGTACTAGTATCGGACGACCTCTAGACCACTGTGTCAGCATAGAACAGTGCTAATGTATGACTTCAATCAGTCCACAATAATATGCGACAATCATTCATTGTCTTCGGTAGGTAACTGCCTCACACCTGACACGGTAGAATTCCACTGATCACAGCTTCTCAGTAGACGTCTGAGAATTCCCTTTGCGAAGCTAGTAGTCATCAGTGAGTACATGGTTATTGTTAGTATAGGGTTATGGAAATTGTTGAGTTTATTAGAAAAACATGAATAAAAATACTTAATATGAATATTTATCTATTAATCTCAAACTGAAGAATATAAGTAACAACATAGATAACCATAATATTTCATGTTATGATTATACTTTAGGTAAAATTCTTTAGATTAATTATTAATATTTATTCAGAATGAAGATAGTAAAAAAAAAGCTGAAACAACAAACGGATTGACAGAGAGATTAATGAATATCAAGTAACGTTATACTACAAATTATAATCCTACATAGTACCAATTTACAGAAAAAAACCATGTATCATTATTGACAAAAAAAACATCAGTCATAAAAAAAAATAATTAATAAAATTTACTTTATCCATTTCCATATATCCATTATTTAATTCTTCTTGTGTACATGTATAACCGAAATCGCATAATTTTGCAATAAATCCTTCTGTAATTACAACATTTCTAGCTGCAACATCTCGATGACACAACTGAAAGCAATACACATAAAAAGATAATGATGTATATAATTATTGGTAATAAGTAAATTTTTTTTCAGATACTGTACTTAATATGTTGTTATTATTATACATAGTTCTGTTTATTTAAAACATAAATTGATGAGAAATCACCGAATAAATAAAAGGTTACTAGTTTCTTCTAAAATAAATCTAGCATATCGAGCACAAATTAAACTAAGCTGAATGATTTTATACCGGTTAATGATTTTGTTCTCTTGAAAGTGTAACAATCAAATATAATTAAAAAAAACAACTAATTTATTGGTATCTATGATGTTGCATGACCTAACAGATTTTTGAATTTTACTGATGTGATATATATTTGATATTCACAATAATCTACTATCAAATTTAACTGATGAGAACAGAAAAAACAATTCTTCATTAGAGAGTTCAGAAAATTATTAAGTTTTATTGAAATTATGGATCGACCATATTGTTAGACCACCATTAGAAACCCGGCAACACTGGAAGGGAATTTCGTCCTAGTATAGGACTTATCAGCAGTACTCACTAGTGATTAGCTTCGTAAAGAAATTCTCGGAGTTCTAGTAAAAAGCTATGACCATTGGAGACCAACCCTGTCGGGTGTAGGCAGTTAACTACTGAAGACGATGAGTGGGGTTATGCAATTTCAGAGATTGATTAGAGTTAGACAATAACATCGTTGGATGCCGGCTCAGTGGCCTAGAGGTTAAGCGTTTGCGCGCGAGGCCGCAGATCCTGGGTTGGATTCCCGAGAAAGGCAGTCGTGCACCCTGTTGATGAGTCTCATTCTAAGAAGAAAACACCGTCCAGTGCTTCTAGGTTTATAACAGTGGTTAAACAACACAAGCAATTTCATATCTAGTTAAAGTAAATGGATAACCAAAGGGTGAATACGATTTATTCTTCTGTCACATTTCCATACGTATTTGGAGTAATGTATAATGCGAACACAAACTTGATATTATCAAGTCTTCATCATTTTCACCAGCATTTGTTTTTTAATCAAAAAATTCAGATTCCTTTTTATGAAAACAATTAGTAATTTCAGCAATATGTATTACGTATGAACTAGTTAAAGAATAAAATAGTTGTTGTTACCATCTTCAATGTCAAAGAAGATAATGATAGTTTAATGACAAATGTATAACTTAATTGTTGGGTTCTCCATAGACTTTTGCCTTGTTTCATGTAGTAAATTTTAATTTGTACATCAATTAAAATCATGATTTTATTCAACAAACGACAGAATTAAATTAGTACTTTAAATTTTAATATGATAGATATCTGATAAAGCTTGAAAATACCGAATTTTTCTGTAATATTTTTGTTATTTTTAAAATTTTCCAATTTAACTTGATTGTGACACAGTTTCATCACATTATGTCGTCGTTCAGCTCCAAGTCATGCATCACTACATTAAAGTAGGCTGAGATGGATTCGAACTCGTGATGCAGTATCCAAGAGTCAAGTGCTTTAAATACTTCACTAAAAGGTCCTTAGTACTTATGTGATTACTGCAAAGAATGAGGAAGCACCACTCAAGTTGTAAATTACCTGATTGATTTATCATGTTGATTTGAAAATTGGTGTCTTATCACTTCGTCCTACCTCGTTTGTCTTCAAATACGAGTAGTATGTTGAAGGCAAATTATTATGAATCGATTATTTATGTTTTTAAGAGAGCCTCAGTCAGCTAGTTTATTTTCTAGTCAGAGAAATTACAAGTTGTATTTCAAAATTTGATATATATATATATATATATATATATATATATATGTTCATATGTTTCTTGTATGAATGCTATTTTAACATTTAGCGATATCTACAAGTAGACTATTGCTATTGTTACAATTTAATTTTATTTTATCAAGAGAACCAACTGATGATCAGTACAGTGTTCAATTCTTGATTAAAATTGAAGGTAAAGCATTGAACGAAGTAGGTAATCATTGATCTCTTAATATGAAGTTATGAAATTTGTGAAAAACATGAAACAAACGTTAAATGGATTATTATTATTATTATTATTATTATTAAAAACAATATTAATCGATATACACTCAAACTTACTGATAATGTTTCAAAATACAATAAAGCATCAGCAATATCCAATGCATATTTTATCAATTCGATTCTTAATTGTTGAATTGAACTTTCAGTTAATAATTCTTTTAAATCGGTCGAATTTGCCACTGTTACATATGATGAACTGACCATTCGTTCATCTGCCCAAAAATTAATTCCAGGTGGTCGACGATTTCGTAGAAAATCTCGTAAATTACCATAGACAGCTAATTCGAGAAGAATGTATGGATGATCTGTAGATAAATAAAACACCAATTTATTAAATTATATTTCATAATTGAATCTAATTAATGAACATCATTACTACTGTCAATATGATTGTTCTCTTTATTCAACAATAAGCTTGACATAACTGTTTACAGTGATATCTCTATAATGAGAAGTGAGAGAAAAAGATTGACACAATAAGTACACACAATACAACAACAGCAACTTTATCAACAGTTTATACTTTCAGTTGTACACTGACAATTTTATAATCAAATCGTTATCGATCAACCAAATCAATAATAATACTAATAGTACTAATAGATGATAATACTATAAATCAACTTGATAGTCGTCTCAAAAACAATTATTGAAAGAACAGAAAAAAATAGCGAATGTAACATACATATTGAGAGTTAACAAACTCATTTGACAACAGTTTAAATTACAAATCTTTCATTCGATTAACTGATGACTAAAACTTACAGATATTCTGTTGTATTGTACTAGTTTAGAAATAAAGCAAAATCAGTGAATCATGACTAAGTTATTCTTCTCCAGTGTTATTTATATAAATAATTGAAAATTACGATTTGGAGCATACATTCAAATAGTATAAGATAATTACGAGTAACTAGATTTTGGGTAACAAAATGAAAGATTAGGTAAAATTTCATCAACTAGTTCCATACCACTATTTACAGTGTTCACGAAACGACAATACATAACATTTACATTATAAAATGGGAAAAAATTGAAATGAAAAAGTTAGTAAGTCAGTTATAAGTAACGTACAAACTGACGTATATAAATATACATCGGTTCACGTTAAAAATTACATATCATGTGATTTTTTGTGTAATTAACTGTGACTTCCTTCTAGTGCTTGATTATATTACACAGCCTTAGTCACTAACACACTTGTTATTCTTCTGAAATGTAGATTGGTCAGAACCGATAATTCATGTACCTAGTTCTGTTAAAAATTTTAGTTCAGTCAGCTACAAGCAACGTAAGCGTGAGTTTGTGCAATGAAAAGAGTATGAAATTATCTGAAAACTTAAGCGAGAACTGAGGAGAAGAAGAGTGAATGTACCTGATTCTATTATAGATCGTCTAGCATTTCTAATCATTCATCGCAATAATGGCGAGATGTACCTTAGTCAAGTATTTTACACTTACCAATATGGTTGATTTGGACAGTGATTGACTTAGTTCGTTCGCTGCTAATTTTCCTCCAACCTACTTTTTCATTAGTAAATGTCACGTGTTGAAGTTGGGTGTGTGTGTGTTTGTTGGCTTTTCACACACGTTGAGTATTTATCCATTTCAGTTGACAAGGATCCACTAACTCATCAACCGATTTGTCATCTTACTGAGTATATTTTGTGTGTGACATCATAGTTTTGCACTTGATGTTTTCAAGATAGGTGAGTAATGCTTCAAAGAATGTTAAGCTATGATCACGTATTTATATGATCGAATATGTCCTATTTTATGAAGTATCGAGTTCCACACCAATGAAGTAGGAAGAAATGAGCTGGTAATATACGTTTATACATATCATTTCTTTGCCTTCTTTACATAACTTTGAAGTCACCATGTATAAGAAATTAAAATCAGAACATTATTTCCCTTCATAAAATATATATATATATATATATATATATTAAATTGGGAAAAGTTTGTTGTGTTTATACAAGTTAGTAATTTGAGATTTGTATTACATACCTAATGTGTAATTGAATAATAACGACGGCAATAAATAACAAATCATAAAAGTAATAAAGGAATAATAAGGAAGAATTACAGTGTAAAAATATGCATTTAATGAAAGGAACTTTTGCAAAATGAGAAAAAAATTTAGACAATAGACTAAGAAAACACCTCCAGGGTATAAGTGTATATACCCATGTATATTTTAGATGATGATACCCTAATTAAACATAACAGACATGTTAACACTTGATAAATACATATAAAACAGTCTGCTGCTTTAGGTGAAGGTCATTGCATAGTTAAACATAGATATACAATTTATTGAATACATTAGTCTTTAAAATGTAATTATTCATCCTTAATAAAATTATCTCGTCAATTGTGTATTGAGATATATATAAAATGCAGAAGTTCCAATGATCTATAGCATCAATTGAATTTCGATGATGACTAAGTAGGGTGTTTTTTTATAGAAAAAAAACTGCCTTTAATACAACAACGAAATAAATTAATTTTATTCAAACTAACAATACGAACAGAAATAACTTAACATGAAGTCACTAAAAAAGAATCAGCAACATCATTATTATCAAGTAGATGGTATATATATATATATATATATATATATTTGACCTTCTTTTTCCTTGAAAGTAAAGTAAATTCTATAACAGTCTAAGAGTATTTCTGAAGTTGAATTATTTCAGTGAATTTATGAAGACTATGATCTTATTAATGTGTAAATGTGCACAATTTAAAATTCATTATTCTTGTCTTCATTCAACTTCTCCTGGTATTACCTAAAAGATTAGTCAGCTTCACATTTTTAGCGAGTGATATTAGTTTGTTCAAATGGTTACTCAATTGTTCAATACCCTAGTTGATTATTGCATACTGATATCTATGTTTCAAACACGACACAGTGAATTTTCATCCCAGTTGGTTATTCTGAACAGAAAAGTGATAGCACATCAAAATAGGATTAATCGAATGGCAGATCAATAGATGAAGTAATGAAACCTCATCAGTTGAGGTGGTTGGGACATGTGTTACGTATGCCCAACCACCGACTGCCTCGATGAGCTTTGTTTTGTAGTGTAGGAATAGGCTGTAAGAAAGCTAGGGGCGGCCAAACCAAAACATGGCAGAAATCCATGAAGTCATTGACAAGTGGACTTAGCCATATCGGTAGTTGTCGACTACCTAGTTGGGGTCCGCGAGATGATAATAATCGATGGTTAGAGACCCTGAATGACATGGCTCAAAACCGTTTACGATGGCGCTGGTGCATTTATTCTTTGTGTTCTTTCAAATCCTAATCTTCTGGATTCTTATACCCCACTAGTTTTGACTTTCTAAACTTATCTCGCTGAATCATACTTCTTGAATAATATCTTCTAATCCTAACCTCTCCCATTACTTCTAATACCTTTACTACCTCTACTATTGGATTTGAATTGACAATCGCATCTCTGTGCTGATGTGGTATGGCAACATGAACTGATGTACTTACGTACAAAGTTCTACGTTGCATCTGACTGACTGACTGACTGAATTGAATCGAATCATTATTAAACTAGAAGATTGAATTTCAGGCTTATAGTTCACTGAATCATATCCTCCAATGAGAATGATACAACAAATTATGATAAGCAAAACAATTTACTCATTATTAACTTACAACGATTCAACTTCTTTATATTAATTAGACCGATTATTAGTTGTGAATTGAATAAAAGATAATTTCTATTCATCATTATGTACAAATAAAACAATACTAATCATGTATTCATGGGTATTTCTTTACAATAATTCATTTCATTTTCGACTAAACAAAAGTTCCTCTTATTATGGACAGTTTTTTTTTTAATGCAAAACATCAATGAAACATTTTTGACTCGACTTAATTTGAACAACACCGAAAACTACATATTATAAGAGGGTTATTTTTTGTAGTTATCCTACTGCAAAGCTACACTAGAGATTAATCCTTAACTGATAGATTGAATATAAAAGTATATTTATCGAATGAATAATGCAGCTAATGCTCAAAAAGAAACAGAACAGCTCAGATACCATCGTCTGATCAGGTGAAAAGGTCAGTTAATTATTATTATTTGTCCTGAGTGTTAGTATAGTATAAAGTCTAAATCTAAATATCAATAAAACTATAAAGACTAAAACGATTATGCCGAAAAATTGTTATCACTGAAGTAAAAAGACATGACCATTCAAAAAACAGTTTTTTAGATTGTAGTCTTCAAACCGACCGTAGCTGCTACCTTGACGTGGTGGTCGGGCTTGCCTATCGTGATGACCCAACCGAGCTATATTGGATGGAACATATGCTCCTGAAGGTTCTAACATGCCAGGAAGGTCGATTGGAAAACGATCAGACTAAAAGCAGCTACTCAAGGTCTGAGGGCGAAGTCGTACTGCTGACTGCAGAGAGGTGTGACAGCAGTAAGGTGTTTCCCTCGGACAACCAGCATCTGCAACGATGCTGCCTTCTCACAAGGAAGGAAGGGTTAGGGTCACACCTCACTCTACCTCACGGATTCCGTCTCCGTCGGTAAGGGTGCTTTTAAGAGCGGAGCTAACATTCAAAAAACCTTTCATCAAAAGGCCGTGCGTGACCGACCTCAAGCAGTTGTCCCCTGGGCTCCGCGGTCACGCTCCCAGGTCTCTAAGACCAACACTAATCTACCTTCCTTTTCAGGTTCCTCAAGAAACACCCTTCCACGGTGTGGGCAGCCGGGAAGTGACAACCGCCCTCATACCCGTAACAGCACAAGAGACCAAATTGGTCATAATTTAATCCTTTCTACACCTCCTAATAACTCTCTTATCTTCTTCACCAACCATTCTTTCGAACATTTATCACCTCACGCCACTGAAGCAAACGGTATGAGCTCACGAAACATTATTCCTGATGAGTTTTCAAGTGACTTACTGTTTGACCCAATTGTGGTATTTCTGTTAGTTTGAAGCTTGTTGTCTTATAGCCGCTGATGATTACTTTCAGTCGGACTACAAACAAACAAAATAATAACCAATTCCAGTAAGTACTGAGGGATAATTGAATATGACATTATGCACTGTATTGCTAAAAAGTACAGTTGATAAAAATAAATAAAGGCTTGTTTATATGGACAACTCATTTATAGACTTAATAGTATGTATCGATTGTTGGTAAAAAGGCTGGCTATGTAGTCTCTGAAGTGTAACTTATGAAGCTTTTGGTATTAGCAGCTTGAGATATTTAGAAAGATAAAGACCAACTATTATATATTTCAGAGATAGCTACAGTCAACTAAAAAAAGTCAAAAAAGCTTGAGCATTGACATACCTCAAACCCTGTCTCTCCTAACCCTAGTTTCACAAACCGGAGTAGTATTGTTAAGTTCTTATAGGAAGTGTAACTAAAGTTGAGCACACAAAGTTACAATACTGTATACATTAAAAACATGTGTATATTACATTTTCAATTTCATTTGCATAAAACAGTACAACAAATATGGTGTTTGATAGAACTTCTTTTGAACGTATACATCATGTTCAAAAGTGAGTGATATTTCTAACAATAGCCAAGTAGATATACAGAGATCTAATGTTCCCAGTAATTAGTATCAACACTTTCGTTCATCAGTTAACACTGATACATCTATCAGACTTTATTTTTATGAAATATAGATAGAGCTTCTTCCACATTAGAAGTCACTATATTTAAAGTATCTGATTAGAAAGAACAAAATTCTTTAGATAACTGAGAACAATGATGATAGGCATTAGATACAATACATTAATTCAACCACCTTGCGTTTATGTAAACGTAGTATTTATTTTATTTTATTTTATTTAAACACATAAAAATTAGTACAAAAGGATACCTAAATATTTATGTGCCACATAAATTATTGAATTTACGAGTGCGCTGGGATACTAACCGGACGACCGAACCAAAGCAGCTGGGCCACATTTCGAACCTTTAACTCAAAAGTTTAAACCACAAGGCAGTTGAGCAATGGTAGGAGATGCAGTTCCATAGTACCCAGTGACCGAGAATATGTTCACACACCATTTGTTCCCTTACGTTCCTCAAGCCAATTTGTAACTCCGGCTTGGAATCAGGGCTTCCCTAGGTGGATCCTCCCCACCCAACAACCAGGTTAAAGGACAGGAGACTCGTTTTTAATCCTCTCAGTTCGTTAAAGAACTCCACTATCACGACGAGTGAGTAGGACTTCCCTAGTAGTGGCTATGAGAGCATTTAGATAAAAAGAGCGAACCCTCTCCACTACCGGCCTTACCAAAGCATTCGGGGGCACGACTCGATGTAAAACAAAAGTATGCTAACCAGTTAAAGCAATGTCCCATTAAAACTTTATATTAATAAGAATTCAATAATCAACCTGAAAGTTGGATTTAATCCTAATAATAAATGGTTCAATTACAAAACAAGAACCTCTCAAAAATGAGCACCTGTCTTGGTATGTTGTAATGATAGGGAAAAGTGACTGTTAACTGTTTTGAGATATTTATATATATCCTTGATTAATCACTTATAACCTGATAAGTCACGGTAAAACTGTTAAATATTGCTTATGTGAATAATAGCTCTGATACCCGGGCATAAATTCAAACAAATTATGAATGAGAGATTATTAATTCCTTAAGAAAATTATGATTTCAACAAGGTTAATTGTAGTGATATTTTATCAGACAAATGTTTCATCAAAACAAATATTTGAAGTACATATTAAAAAAAATCGTGTAGAAGCTTGGATTATTGACTGAGTCATGCATTATCATACATAGTATTGTTTACATAGGTAAACTTGTACACAATAAATATACAAAAATGTTCATAGAACCATACACGTTGAAACATTGAAATGAACGAGAAGCTTTGTACGTTTGGAGGCCTTATTCAAGTAAATAAACTCCATGTTATTATCACCTCGTTAACAAATATTGGGGAAAGACAATGAACAGTGTGCTTAGAAAAATTAGTAAGTGAATAACAATTTACAGTTGCAAACCTTTAAATCCCCTTTTAATATAATCTGATGTACATAATAAATTACCGGGTTTTGAAGATTGTTGAATTACTCATCAAAAATTGAGTTAAGAAGCCTGTTTTGTATTTCTTTTATATTCAGAACATTGGTATTGTCTATGTGATAATTTTCAAAGTGAATTGAAAGTAATCTTATTAGGATTTAATTATGATATGGACACTTTTTATTCAAAATACTTGGATAATGAAAGTAGAAAAAACATTTCGAATAGATCATTGATTTAATAAGCGAATTCTTGCACCAATATTCTAATGTTTTTTAAAAAAGCTGTTGAATTTTGATTTTTCTCTGCACAGTAGTTCGCTCCGTCCTACTATACGGATGTGAAACATGACCACTCAGAGTAGAAATTCGTAGGTTGCTGGTTTTCAATCACAGATGTCTCCGAAGCACTGCTCGTGTGTCCTGGGACAACCGAGTAAGCAATGCTACAGTTAGGAAACCGGTCCTAGGTAAGGATAACAGATGAATAGATGAAGTTTTGAAACTTTACCAGTTGAGGTGGTTGGGACAAGTGTAACGAATGCCCAAACACCGACCACCTCGACGAGCAGTATTCTGTGGTGTTGGGGGTACGTGAGGCAAAAGTCACTCCAATCTCTCCGATTACTGATAATACTTTTAGTACCTCTACTACTATGTGATTTGAATTGACAATTGCATCTCTGTGCTAATGTGGTATGGCAAGTTGAACTGATGTATGTACGTACGTACGAAGTTCTACGTTGCTTTTAATTGATTGATTTCTGTCTCAATCTCCCTCTCTCTAATCTTCATTATTTGAAATCTCAGTCACTGTATTTCAGATTGACGCCTTTTAGTCTATATTATCATTTCAAACAAAGATTTGTGATAGTACAAAACATCACAAATGTTCTTTATCAAATTATTCTCAGATAATCAGTTAAAATACACTATAACAATACTAGAAAGCAAACTTTACATCATTAAACGGAATTTTGAAAAAAAATGAGAACAGAAGCTTATTATTTATTCACAGACAGACTATTGTTTTAATTAGTAAATATAAACTTGAACAAAAAGCCCACATAAATTATTCACATGATTAATGGTAAAAAATAGAATTTCCCCCAATAATAGTAATAAATAATAATAACTTATATAACTAGAAATAATAGGTCATAGAAAAACCTATGGGACTAGAGAAAAAGATAATTAGATTAATTAACACGTGGAACAGTTTAGTGCATGACATTCTACTTAATTTGTGATGCTAAACATTAAACATATTTAATATTGAGTAGAGTTAGTCACTAAAATTTAATTGTCTTGTTTAACCAAATAATATTGATTACCCTTATTTTTATGTGTAATACGCACAGAAACTAAGTTACCATTTATGTATTTAACATATATACAGATATATCGATATATTTATGAATATGTATAGATTTAAAGCGAATAAATAGGCCTGTAATAAAGTCTCGTTTGTAGGAATACAGCTATACTTGTTTATTTCTTTTATGAATGAGGAAAAATAAAATAAACAATTGAAGTTACAACGTACAACTTCGTACGTACACTCACCATTTCAAGTTGCCATACCACATTAGCACGGAGATGTAATTGTCAATTCAAATTCCATTGTGGGTAGAGGTAGTAGAAGTATGAACAGTACTCGGAAAGATCACGGTCCGAAGATATGTACAAGGATTGTTTGACACTAGCAATGCTAGTAAACTGTAGTCAAGTTTAGCTAACGATAAAGTGCATTATTTTCTTTTGACTAATCCGTTATTTTCTATGCCTTAAATTGAAAATGTTGAGTACAACGGTATATATGTACCATATATTAATCAGTTCGGTCAAACAAATCATTATCATCATAGTGACACACAAATTAGAGTCTGTTAACCACACCCTCCTCCGGCTATGAAATATACAAATTGATGAAAATATGAATACTACTAACATCAATAGTTTATCACAATGATGTGTTCAACCGCTTAGTTCATGACATAATTTATTTACTCAGTTATAAGAGGCACAATTTTCATAGTATGGTTTCAACTCCCTTCATTAAATAATTGAAACTGCAGTGAAATGAAATATCAAAATTTACTAATCTATTTCTTTTAATAAAGTATAACAGTCAACATGTTTAACATCGTACTCTAATTGTAGAAAAAACAAAATATGTGTAAAGATGAATTATAAAAGGTTATTGAAAGCGATTTAGGTTAATAATCAAAAATTTATTGTTAAATCAAACATTACTTACTATGATCTATGCATATTCCATAAAATGTTATAATATTTGGATGTGGTTCTAGTTCACTTAAAATTTTTGCTTCTCGAATTAAATTAACTAATTGTCGATTACGAAATCCATCTAGGAAAAATTTTTAAAAAAAAGATAAACGAATGAAATTGACAAAAAGAAAAACATGCTGTATATAAAGAAAATTACTGTATTGTAACAAAGAAGAACATTTAAACTAACAATAAAATACATTATATATATATATACAATAAAACTAAATATGATGAACATGAAATGATTTGTCATGAGTCAATGACAAGGCGAAGACCAATATCATCATCATCATCATCATCATCATCATTATTCAATTATGATTTTACACATTTGAAATCATCAATCAATCATTGTTAGACCACCATTAGAAACCTGGAAGCACTGGACGACCGTTTCGTCCTGGTATGGGATTCATCAGAAGTGTGCATCCACGACTCCTGCACCTCGCAGGATTCGAACCCCGGACCTTCGGTATTGTGCACGAACGCCTAACCATCGGACCACTGGGCCAGTAACTACCAAAGACAAATGGGTGAGGTCGCGCGAAATCCCTAGATCAATCAAAGTTAGACATGAACACCGTTGGATGCCGGCCCAGTGGTCCGATGGTTAGGCGTTCGCGCACAATACCGAAGGTCCGGGGTTCGTATCCTGCGAGGAGCAGGAGTCGTGGATGCGCACTTCTGTTGAATCCCATATCAGGACGAAATGGCCGTCCAGTGCTTCCAGGTTTCTAATGGTGATCTAACAATGATTGATTGATGATTTCAAATGTGTAAAAACACAAACCTCCAAAACTCTGCCCCAAAATTATGATTTTGTTATGTTGTATTAGTAATATTCAAAAATCGAATTAGTTTAGTGATATGTGCCACAGGACAACTAATGGTACAAAAAACCATCTCAAAATAGTACTTCAGAATTCGAGAATCTACAAAATAGTTCAATTCAAGTAGTACACTGTTTTCAACAATTACAAAATCGACGTTTAAGGTCAGTGTTTCCAATTATGGTCAAAAAAGGCGAGTATCTGAAACTTTGCATATATATTGCTAGACACTAGTGTGAACTCAACTTTAAGGAAGGCATAACTATCCACCTAACTTGGACTATTCTCCGAAAAAAATCACATTTAATCTGTTCTAATCTCATCCCCATAATCGACAAACTAATTGACTCTATTTCTTCATATTATGCCATATTTTTCACACTCAGATTTTTGCTAACACACAAAATAAGTCTCCTCTTTAACAAGAATGACAACACTAGTATGATCACATTTGTTTTGACTGTATTAATTATTTTGATTTTTTTTACGCTGTATCATACTTCAGCCTATACTATATTTTTATTCAGTTATTGATTATCCGATGAAACGACTCATAACAAAAAGTTACGCAGCATCCAACATTCAATTTTATACTGATTGGGATAGTAAAAAACGCATGCATCATTATTTTATTATTATAAAACAATTCATCCAACATTCAATTTATTAGAAAATTTAAAATTTAGGCCTTTAAAATGATACTTAAAAACAATCTTCAATTCTCGAAAATTTAATTACACTTAGTTATTTTTTACTTTTAATATTTTATCACTAACGGAGGATAATCAATTGTCTGTGATGGAATTAATTTTTATGAGTGAATGCAAGTTATGTCGAATATTCTATTTGACATAATAAAGATTATGGTCGGATCATAATCTTTACAACATAATACAAAACTTCACACGTAGACACTAATGAATATGTTTATCACAAGAACAACACACAAACAAACAAACAATAGCCATTTCAATGTTTAATGAGATTAACTTGTGTTCTATCTGTGCGTAACTTTTAATTAAAATGAAATAACAAATCAGAAGCCATGTAATTTATTTTACTTGTTTACTGGACATTTTCAGGGGGTGTTAGGTAACAATAAATAATTTCCGAAAGTTTTTAATAAATCTCTTAGGATTTTTTTACAGTGAAAACTGTTTTTTTTTGATAGAACGGTTTTGATGCAACTCAATCTGTATATTATATATAAAAGTGGTTATAATGAGAAATGCACGACCAATGTTTTTTTTTATCTTGGTTGAGATTTAAAAGTTTCTAAGCTCTAAACTGGGAGACTTGTAAAGTTTACGCTGTCGTTGTAAGTAATGTAGCTAGTAGTAATTACTTAACATTATACTACTAAACAGTACATCCGTTTCTATTACCATTCATAAAAGCAACTAACGTATCAATTACTGCAATGACTAACATGCACAAACTGGTAGTTCCCCATCATAGAAACTCGCATTAAAACAATAATGGCTTTCAGTTAACTTTATAACTGATTGGATATCTAATCAGAAGTTAAAGCTATGATTACAGGAAAGCTTTAAGCAGAATAACATGATTTTGTTAAAATGAAGGCACAAACATTCTAATGGAAAATTCACATAATAGATAAAATACAGAAGTAAAAAAATAGACATATATGTAACTACCTATTTCAGAAATGGATATTTTACTTAGCAGCCATTTTTTTATCAGTATTCTTAATTTCATGAGCATCCAGAGAAACAGGTGTAGGTGTACACCTGTTAATGTATTGAACTGTGGATTTTAGAAAAACTTGTTTTGATCAAAAGGAAGGACGATTGTAAACGATAAGTATCCAACAAGCTTAATGAGTTGAATTAAATCTGATGCGTCATTTACTTACTTCGCAAGAAGACAGAAGTGACTTTAGGGAGCAATGAATAGTTTTTTTTATTCCATTCTGAGACTTCGAAGCAGCGTTCATCGCAAATCTCAAGTAGGATCAGATCCAGGACTTTGAAAACTCGATAAGAATTAAGGGTATTAAGTGACCCATGTTCAATATTAACAATATATATTCATTTAATCACTTCTTAAGATACTGAAACTTATTTACCCAGTGAAAACTCGCATACCCAACTATGAACTATATTTTATATGTGATATGGTGATACTCTAGCTGAACAAACAGATATAGGTAAAAGTGAGTTCAAACATGTCACTTAGCGGTTGAAAGTCAAAGGCAATAACCTCTAATCCATCGCTTTCATGGTCACCTAATAGACTTAACATCAAATATTTCCAACCAATACCTTAACAATCACCGCCTTTCATGCAGATATGATTGATTGGAAATAGAAATAAAATCAGCAAAGGTAGTAGTTACTATGTACTTAAGGATTTTTCATTTAGAAGTGAGACTTGAAAACATTTATCAGCAGTTGGTGAAAATTAAATTCAGTATATCAATTAAATTTCATAGCTAAACTAGAAGTATACGTTTAGTATGTGAAAGATCAGTGACCCTTATTCTCTCGTATTATTCACACACTTTTTGACCTTATCAATTACTCACTTTTAAGCTTGGCTGTTCTTATTTGAGTGCATGTGTCCACTACTTACTTCGCTTACTACATTTATAGCCTATTTTCGTCTGATTATAAATACTCAGTCATGCTTCATCAAATTGAGTTGGCCCACTCGACTTCATTTCGCTTTGCTTTCCTACTTTTTATCCTTGTGTTTGTCTGAGGAAATAATCGTGTGAAATAAACTCATTCAATTCAATTCGTATTCGGCTACTTACTAGCTACTTACTACCGCCATCGCCCGAGAGCGGTTAGCGTAAGAGTAATAAAAGGAAATGAAATGAAAGATTTTTTTTTACAGCATAATTAATCGTTAGTACAAATTGAAATCAGATCCCAGGTCACTAAAAAATATGTTTGCTCTGTAACATTTACATCTGATAACTAATAATAGTACATAAAGTGGCTGGTTAACATTTCTACAGTAGAATTTGTTAGATACAATGATACTATACTAAAATGAGTTTATCGATCATAAATGAAAAAACTCAGAGGAAAAAGTGTAATTGCGAAGTAAATTACTACACATGTTAGGCATTCTTTGAATTCAAGATATCTTTATATCAAGCCCCAAGACAAATGTGGAATGTCAGGAGAAAAGGTATTCACTTATTAGAAAAAGACTTCAGATAAATTTCGATAACTAGTACATCTTCATAACCTTGATTTCAGGTTAATACAGCCTCCACTAGATAACCATTAATTTAATGTCTTGCCACCAACATTATTGATTTTGGACTCCAACCCATCTATTCGTATTACATCTAGCAAACTTATTGAATCGCTTACTGCTCAGAAATTTTTAATTCCAAAAGATAACCTTCACATGTTGATATCGCTTGTATGTTTTAGTGAAAGATAATGATTTTTCCAATGACTAGACTAACCAACCAGTTTGCTTGAATTCAGTTACACAACTAAGAGCATACAGTAGACATGTTTTTCTTTATCATTATGAGTTTTGCATGTTCAATCATGTACATACATATGTATGGAGAGAGAGAGAGAGAAGGAACAAGAGAAAATTAAAAACTAGTTATTCGACTAATTAAAGAGTGTACATAACTCCACTGCAGCAGTAGTAACAGTACCAGTGATAAAACCACGAAATGAGTACATAAATGTGATATTTCAAATGTGATAAATGAGTTGACTTTCTCAAAAGGTTAATGTGTACGATATTTCATCATTAAGTGAGAATCGATATATAACAGAACTTGACATTTTCATATAAATGAACGTATTTGCATACAAACACACATTGTGTATTGAAACTAAAATGCTATGGCAATTAGAATACTACAAAGTTTGGTTATTAGAAAGATTTATTGCTCAACTTGACATGCAACATGACTATAAGAGATATTTTAATGAAATTAGTTGGATCTATATTCTCGTATATTTTTCTATTAAAAATGTTGATGAACCATTGGAGTAGAAGTGGAATTAATGCTTTTTTGGCAAATAAATAGAAAAGAGAATCATGATCACATATAAACTTAAATCAACAAAATTTGATCGTATAATGCTAATATGTTGAAGAAAATTCATAATTTGGGTAGATGATTATGATGGAGTTTTATTTTTTGGAAGTTCCATAACCAAGCTATCCAGCTCATTGAACAAACCTCAACCATGACCTTATAATGTCGAATTTTCGACATTACGAAATTAATATAAAAAAA